AGTTCTCAATAACACTTAGATTTATGTTAGTGAAATTATTATTATTGCTATTATTATCATATGTTTGTTTGTTTGTTTACTTGGCTGCATTATTGATTTATGTTAATGAAATTATTATTATTGTTGTTGTTTGTTTGTTTGTTTGTTTGTTTACTTGTCTGCATTATTGTGTTTTCCTCCATTGCTTGCCTGTAATTTGTCTTTGACTTTATGTTGTGTTTGTCCATAATGTAATTACTTGTATCTACCCTGTGCTCTGTCTGTAATTGGTCTTGCGGCTGTTGACTCGACACATAAATAATAAAATTTAATTGAATTATTATTATCTCAGCTATCTTAGGTTAATTAATAGTATTTACGAGTATATCGGTATTGTATTGGGAAATGCAGTTGTGTTGTAATTATAAGTGTAATTGTAATTGTATTGTAATGGTATGCTTTGTGTATAGTATGTGACCGTTATTGTTGTGTAGTTTTGTGTGCTGTGCCCTGTTCGAGCTTGCCGGGTTATTTTGAGTGTTGTGACTTATTGTATTACCAGTGCCACCGGATAAAAGCCCATTTGCAGTCAAATAAATAAATAATAGAACAAACGACTATTTCCCTAAACGTCATTAACCGACTCACCTTTGCTAACACGATGCGATATGTCTACTTGGAGGTGCAAACCGAAGTAATAAGCATTATTTGTGTGAGCTCAATTGTTTATAGAGTTCAGGGATACAACTGAAAGAGGACGTGAAATGGCACTCCTCAGAATTGTGTTGGGTGCTAAATTTTAAGTCTGTATAATTGACTGTAGCTTGCTGATATTAAAATAATCATTAAGGGCCAGCGAGCTATCGCATGTATTAATTCCTATGCGGCGGAAGTAGTTCAGTGTTTCGTTAAAAATGCATAACTTCCGCTTTGATATGGGAGCAGAAGGAATGTACATGTATAATGTCATTGAATTTACACCATGTGAAAGACTTAATTGGAAGAAACGTAATACAATAAGCATGTAACTTTAAACATGGTAAACTCAATGATATTATAAGTTAACGTTAAAAATAAACGAAATACATTCGGAAAATAAACTTCAGTACACTTAAGAATATTTTCATTTCAGGGATGTCGGTCTATCTCGATAAATTGTTGCGATATGATATCGGGGATTTGTATTCAACATCGATACGAGTTTAGCATATCGATATATCACTAAATTTCTTTGTTTATTGGAAGGTACAGATAAAATTAGAATTTCGTGTTTTTCAGAAAATTTGTAGAGTTGTTTCGATAGGTTATTAGTGAGCATGGATTTTATAAAAAAAATTTACATAACAACTGGTCACTGCAAATAGATCCACACTGTAAGCCCCTTAACTACGTATATATGAATAGTGAGATATCACCTGTAGAGGAACGTTCACACAGCCCAGGAAGTCGTCCTGACTGCCTGATCGAGCGCTCTGGGCAATCTGTTTGAAGAACCGCCCCAATCCCTTCACTCCCCGCACCTCGTTCAGCTTACTGACGGCGTCAAACACCGACGATTCGTCATCGTGGTCCCTGAATAAAAAAATCATTAATGTGCAAATAGCAATCAATTACTATGTGATATGTGCACCTGAACTGTACTTTCTTTACAGATCAGTTCATGCGGTTGTCACTTTGCGTAAGCATTAGACCATGCAAGTATATAGGGACAGTGGAGTTACAGCTTCAGGAACTGTAACCTCGATATTGTATGTGGGGAGTGCACAACGCTGGTTGCATTATACCAAGGTAAATATTCCCGGCAGACCGCCTCTGTGGTCCCTTTATCCGCTAAAGTTGGCACTAATGAATGTGAATGAATGTATAAGGGGTGGCCCTTCTCGGCCCTTGCACCGCGACCTACAGTGGTCTATTGTTCTTAAGTTGGCACTAACTTCGCCGACAAGCGGTGGTGGTTCGGTCGGTATAGTTCGCCTGCAGACTACAGGCCACGGATGTTTTTTTTAAAGGTTGTAGTCCGTCACACTTATATAAGAAAATTTATACAATATTTAACACCAATTTTGGCCATCTGCGCTGAGAGCTAATTCTTTCAGGGTCAAACCGAAATAGAAACATTCATTCATTCATTCATTCATTCATTCGTTCATTCATTCATCAGTAATCTGTCAAGACGACAGGTCCACAGTCTCTTCCAAAATAGTTCCTCCATTTAATGCGATCTAGAGCTATCTCCTTCAAATGAGAATATCCTCTTCTGTTCCCAAGGTCATCCAGCATCTTCTTACGTCTTCTTCCTCGTCTTCTGCCCACTTTTATCCGCCCCTCTATCCCTCCTTCAATAACTTCTTTTAGAAGGCAGTTACCGCGTAAGATATGACCAATCCAATTAGCCTTCCGTTTTCTTATTTCGTGTAGGATATTCCTCTGCTCACTGACTCTAAATAACACTTCTTCATTTCTCACATAATCGGTCCAACTGATCTTCTCCATCCTTCTCCAACGCCACATTTCGAAGCTTTCCAGGTGTTTCTGATCTACTGCCCTAAGTGTCCAAGTTTCAGCCCCATACAAGGCAATACTCCAAATGTAGCATTTCACTAGTTTATTTCTCAAATTTAAGTCCGATTTGCTGGTAAAAAGATTCTTCTTCTTGCTAAATGCAGCTTTTGCCACGGCAATCCTAGATGTATTTTCACAAGTACATCTTCCTTGGGGGAAGAAAAATCGAAAGAGTTATTTTTATGTGCCTAAAAGGAAAAGTATGAAGATTTTTGTCTCGTAAGGAGTCGATATAAAAAAAACCTAAAAAATCTAAATCACATTAAAACATGAAAGGATGGCCGTGCTTTAATCAAACTTTGGTCTCTTTTCATGTAAAACACGTTTCTTCTTTATGATGTGAAGCTTATTCCAAAAGCCTCTGATGTAATGCAGACTGAAAATGCTTCAGGATATCAATTTTTATGGAGCTCCTGGGCCTAATAATTCGTCAAGGATCCTAGTATCTAATCATTTTGTACAAGAAGTAGTTGCGCCATTCTTCATCATTTACGATTAAGCGGCTTCAATAAAATTCAGCGTCTTCTACTAACTAAATCTTTGTTAGCGACGGAATTTACCGCCAAAGGGAGCTTCCCCTCAGTTTGAAAGTTTTGCAACAACTCAGTTAACTAAATATTTAATACTAGGAGCAACCCATAATAAATTCGTGTCGTAATACATTCTTTGAAAATTTTAATAGCTAACATTACCAAATCGTCTTTGCCCCAAGAAAACATCTAATCCTTAAAAATGAATTTACGTTCTCACGGCATACGTTCTCACGAGGTCAAGAAAGGTGGAGCTATATTTCCACTCCCCCATATGCCATCACGATGTGGTGTTTAATTAATTAAGCACAATTAATTAATTCTTAAAATATTTGGTATACCCGTAGTTTGAGTCATAATCCGATGTCTGCTTGGAGGGACTAGAGAAAACTGAAAAATCTCGGTATTTCAGATCTTTTGGCCAGTACTTCAACAGGTAATCTCAAGAATATGTCGCAGGAGTAAAATATAATCGTTTATAATGCTCGGTGAAATTACACGCATGAAACATAACTCCTCATGAACATACTGTGAGGGTAATTTTATGACGCCATCAGTACACAGACCTTGAATGGTAGGATGAATAATGAATTGGAAAGGATTTGAAAGTAGACGGTCATGGCCAAATCGAGGTACAGAGTGGGGCGCAGAAACTTCCTTTGTTTGAAGGTGAATAAAAGAAAAATTATTGCTGATAGACAAAATTTATGTTTAGCTAATGAAAGAATACACTTTAAAGTCTTAAATCATGTAGTTTTAAACAAAATATCTTGAAGGTGGTGGCCACCGTTCTCTATGCACTGATGGAACCGTTTTCTGAAGTTCCCCTCTGCACGTTCCAACATGTGCACCGGAATTTGGGCTACTTCCTGCCGATTCAGCTGAAGCAGGGTTGTGGGGCCATGTTTAAAAACCTCTGCCTTGAGGTATCCCCATAAAAAATCACAGGGCGTTAGATCAGGTGAGTGCGCTGCCCACGGGATGTCACCTCGAAGCGAGATGAGCCGTCCGGGGAACTTTGCCCTCAAAACTGTCATCGAAGCTCGGGCTATGTGGGCCGTGGCACCATCCTGTTGGAACCAGACATTTCCTAGATGCATTTCTTCAAGAGCTGGTTCGAAAAAGTTTTTAATCATGTCCACATACCGCTGTGAACTGACAGTAACTGCATGATTGTCTTCTTCAATAACTCCCAACTCTCGAAAGCGCACACCATAGTGTCACCTTATCACTGCGAAGTGGCCTCTCATGGAGCTCTCTGGGATTGTTACCACTCCAATAGCGCATATTCTGCTTCTTGACATATCCGGATAGGTGAAAATGTGCCTCATCACTAAAGAAAACAAGTGCGTCAGGGCGTAAAGTTTCCAATAACGTTTCGCCCGCCGTTATTCGGTTCTGGAAATCACGTGGTGACAATTCTTGCTCAACAACCATCTTATATGGATGGAAATTAAGATGTTCGTGAAGAACTCGGCGAATTGAACGATTGGATATGTCTAGGTCGAATGCATATTTGCAAGCGGAGCGTATGGAGATCTCAAAATCAACTGTCGAACTGCCTCCACATTTTCTGGTGTCGTAACGCTCCCTGGTCGTCCTGATGATTTTTTCACCACACTCCCGGTTGTCCTAAAGTTCTCTACCCACAAAACAATCGCTTTCCGGTCGGGAACCGGACCTCTGGGCTTAATTCCGAAATGAGTACGAAACGCACGCCGCACCGCCACGTAGGAATGGTTGTTCGAAAAATAGGCTTCGACAGCAAACGCACGCTGCTCACTCGTCCACCTCATGTTTCCTACTACAGAAACTTCCGCGACTGCTGCGTTCGCCGAGCCTATCCCCACTTTTCTGCGTCCTCTCCTCCCTTCACAATGCGTCTTCACGAAAAGGAAGTTTCTGCGCCTCACTCTGTACTATCCCAGCATTTGCCGAAGGGGATTAATGTGCTGGGAAAACGTGTCTACTTTGCCCCTGACTATGGAGGCAGCATGCACCCTATGAAAAGCCGGTAACATGGCCCATAATCACACAAAGAAACAAATCCAGAACAGAATTAACATAGGTCATAGCTTTTTAAGGGAGACCCTCAGGGTACACCTTCATACGCACTTATTGCTTAATCTGACGTCCAGACATCATGCTCTAGAATATGACAGGTAAAAATAGGACACCATGTATATAATATTTACGGTAGCCTTCATCGCAACAGGAAGTAAATGTGTCACTTAATAAAATGGATGCTTTCGTAACTACATTTACAGCCAATAACGATAATGAGAGCTCTCTAAGCGCTAATGATATATTGGAAAGTGGGGACAGTTTCGAAATAGTTCGTGCTTTCCCCAGTAGATGTCATTCAAAACCTTCAAAGATCACAGATTGGCATTGCAGAATTCAAACAATATATCGATTGAACTTCGTTATTAATTGTTTTCCTCGTATCGAAGTCAGTTTAGCTTTGACTAATTAGTCCACAGTTCAAAGAGAGTTTAAGTGCGCTGTAATAAGTGCGTTACCGTAATATGTTATTGAATTTGACGAACCATCAATCATAATTATAATAATTGTCATACAGGATGTTGGTGGCGCCGCTGTCTTTCGGCGTCCTGCCACAAACCTATTTTTATTTACAGTTACTAAATTTGACCTTCATTAATTCGTCAAGAAAGTCAGTGTTCCAGTTACTGTTGACATACAAATGAAATCAGTCCTTGAGGCAAAGCTTCGAGGTTGCAAGATAAGAATGCTGTATAAGATACTTACCAAATATCCAAGTGAAGAATATCGCTGGCAACATCATCGATATCACTGCAAGAAAAAATAACACGAGTATCATCATATCATCATTAGCACCAATGCAGACAAACTTCACAGTCACTGCCGTGATAACTTCAATATTCGGTCATAATTATTGTTGTATTTCAGGCTCTCACAGCCCTGAATGTGAAGAGTATTAAGTCCTGGGTTCTGTATGTACTGTACGAGGGACAGTCAGTAAATGGGAACAAATGGAAACAAAACAGCGGTAATGGATGTAACAGGTTTTCTATGCATACCACTAGGCAGCAGCACAGTCCGGCTTCATGACAGTCTAGAAAGCAGAAGCGCATGTGCATGTTCAGAGGCTGGTTTCAGTAGTCAAAATGGCGACCGTGCTTGAGGAGTATTCGACCGAAGAGCAGCGTCTGTTTTGCGTTTTTTTTTGTGAGCAAAAGAACTCAATGCACAGGATATTCATAAAGAAATATTTTCTGTTTATGGTGGGAAGTTTCTGTCGCGTAAAGCGGATCACAACTGGGTCGAGAAGATCTCTCAAAGACGTTTGAAAGTTGTAGATGATGGCCGACCGCAAGAGAAAGTGGCTGAGACAACAGTCAAAAGACTTCTGTGCTGCGGGTTTCGACGCACTGGTAAAGTGATCAGATAAGTGTATTAATGTTGATGGAGGATATGTCGAGAAATACATGTTTCGTCCATATTCGAATATCACATGTTTTAGGTTTTATATCCATTTGTGACCAATATACTGACTCTCCCTCTTAGTTTGCTAGAAGTTTACTGACGTTTCGAAGAAACGCACTGACTTTATATTACAGATCTAAAATTAAGCCAAGCGAAGAGCCAGCGAGAAAGGAACAAGCAGGCGAAGCCGCCATTGGAAAACATGGGTGAACATAGGCCTGGGTAAGAGCCTAAAGAGAACCGGTAGGAGCCAGGAGAGGAGTAAAGGAACCTCGTCTTGTTGGTCGTTTGTTTGGCGTGCTTCCGACCCTGAAGATGAAGAGCGTACGTTCTTCCGAAACGTCGGTGAACTTACACCGGACTTCATGTCGTCACACCCCAGAAGATAGTAATCTTCATTACTGTTGTTTCTGTTATTATTTTATTATTGCATTGAAAATTCTTTCTTTTTTTCAATGTACACAGTCTAAGCTTGCATTCTGAAATTTTATTAAGAATGCAATAATCGTATTATCAAAATGAATGTCCCCGATAAAAATATTATGTTCTATACTAGTTTGAAATATGACGTCAGATTCGCGGTAAGACACTCGTGAAGATACTAAATATTTAGGTTCAAAGCCTAAAGAAACATAAGTTGATATACATATTTTCGAGAAAGGGTCAGGGACAAAGAAATTGTCATTATTTGAAAGCTCGATAGATGAAAGGGTTAATATGCAAAGCCTTCAGAGTCTGTCTAAACTCCTTTTATCTTTTTTTTCGTATTTATCGACGTTTACTGTGCAATATTTCCAGGAGTTCTGTTGATTTTAAATAAAAAATTTTACTATATTTTCTACTAATATTATTTTTTTTAATTTATCAATAAATTGAAGCGAATATACTCAGGGCTATTACTGTTAAAAGGCTTAAAACGACTACATTGGGAATCGGTGAGGCAGAAACCAGAGCTTAGTAACGGTTATATTCGGGCATGGCGGTGTAAGTGTTGGCTCACAATCGGAACTTCTCGTTCCAGCGTGGGTTGAGTGTCTGTGGCTTCACCGTCGTGGCGCGGATAAACTTGGCGGGAACAGCCGCTGACAGACTGTCGCGATGCTCCCTTCTGTCGCCACGGTAACTGCCGTGTTCCTTCCGTTTGAAGCTCAGCCGGAAACTGCACACAAGCAAACATATTCTTGGTCTTCAATGAGAACACGAACACAGAAGGGACTTTAAAAGGTAAATGCATAGTAGTTCACCCAGTGAGTACCAGGAATCTTCCTGGGGTACTGTTAACAACTTCACCACCATCCATGATCCGACCGTCTAGAAACTGTGGGAACCTCGACATCTCACAACCCCATTGGCCTCCACGGCCTGTTACAGGGATAGCTTTACCTTTTACCACGCCATGAAGATTCATGAAGTAATAAAAATATAGCTCCCCAATCCTTAAATTCGACACTAGATGGACGTGAGTGGTCAGCTTAACGCCCCTTTCGCTTTGTCCTTAGCGGTCCCATCAGATAGCAGACTGGGTGAGCCTCAGAAATTCTGGACGTTGTGGAGAAGATGAAAATCTCTTACCTCTGCCAGGAATCGAACCCCGGTCGTCCAGCCAGTCGTTATACAGACTGAGCTAAGTGAGAGTGAACGACTGGGTGGGGAAGTGATTCAAGGGACCTTCAAGGATATGACAGCAAAAGAGACAAATCCTTATCTCGTCATGCAGTTAGTCGGGCCCAGTGTCTTCAGTTTCACGTATAAATACAGGGCGGCCACCATAATCCGCACTAACCTAAGCAATGTTGGGTTCGGGCTACGGAATCTTTAGGATTTCTGGATTCAAAGAGAAACACTGAAATATAACAAAATTATTTATCGAACACTTTTGTACATACAGTTCTCTTTGTGCTTAAAAAGTTAAGCACCAAGGCATTAAGATATCTGAGGGACCTCTGAAATAAAAGGAAGTGAAATATAAGCTTCACGCCCCTTTCGCTTTATCCCCGGGGAAGGTGTCGTAGATACTCATTGTATTAGAGGCTGGGTGGGCCCCAGAGCCGGTCTGGATGCTTTTAAATAGGGAAAACCCTCTTTTACTTCCAGAATTCGAACACCGGATATCCAATCCCTAGCCCGTTGCTATACCGAGTGAGATGTAATAAATTAAAAGCAACAAAAATATTTGCTCTTTGTGCATTTATTTAATTATGCTGTCAGTAGCTCAATCTGTAAGGTAAACTTGTCCCTGTGCTTAATTAAGCACTATGCCAAGAAGGCGTATGGGAGGGTGGATGTATAGATCCACATTTTCTTGACCTCGGCACTAGCTGGAGGTGAGTGGTCAGCTTCACGCACCTGCCGCTTTACCCCCGGGGAAGGAGCCCCCGTTATCCAATGGATAGGAGGGTGGGTGGGTCCCAGAGCCGGTCTGGACGATATGGAGAAGAGAAAATTCTGACCCTACCGGGACTCGAACTCCAATCCTTCGGCCGTCCAGCCCGTAGCCAGTCGCTATACCGACTGCGCTATCCCGGCTCAAGTAATCTATATAGCACCTAACGTCGGGATAAAGAGTAAATAATAAATTGTAAAGAAAACAATTATAAGTTTCGAATTAACTACATTATGTAATATCATAAATCCCCCGCTTAACCTACTTTATCATCCTTAAGCCGAAATTTTTTCCTTATGTACTGCGTTTTCAACACTTGGAAATTACGTAACGCCAAGGTCTCTCTGTCAACGTATCCACAAAAGTGGATTTTTTTTTGCATACGGTCTCTATTTCTCGTTGTCATGGATACCGCCATATCGACAATGTAATTCTATGCGCCGCATATCAAAGGTCCCTAATTAATATCATAGGGTGTATGGAAAACTGTGTACAATAGTTTAACGCCTGACTGTCCATATGTTCACAGGGATTCAATTCCAAAATATGGCCACTTTTATGCGTCCTTTGGACAGGATGAAGAAATAGGAGCGATATGAGAGTTTCGGTCCTCTTAACGGATCATGAGTTCGACCTGTGACAATATATAATGGATTTAAATCAAATGTTATGTTCTGTAGTTGAATTTTAGGCCACTGAACGAGTGAGTTTCATACATAGACTATTATTCGTGACGTAAACATAAAACTGTCCCTCTTCTTAAATAAGCAAGCAACACTCTATTAAGACGCATGGGCGAATTGAGGTACAGCCCCACCATTCTCAACAAAAAGCAAACTCCGTGGCTTTAGTCCGCAAACGAACTATACCTACCGAGCGACCTCCGCTTGTCGTTGAAGTTAGTATCAATTTTAGGGGATAGAGGGTGTCGCGTGTTCAGCGCAACGAATCCCCGCGGCCGTTAATTTCGGTTTCCCATTCTCATATAAATTAATTTATTTTCTAAAAATTTGTTTATTACATGCAAAATCGTTAATTACATAGAAGAGAGTATTCTTTTTGAGAATCCGAGACTAGACCAGTTTTGGAAATCCTACTTTTATAGAACCCTAAAGTGCATTACTCCTTTCACAAGGCGCCTTCTCTAAACCGTATGCTGAGCAAGATAGAGCAAATTAGGTCAGTGGACCAATATGTCAAATGGGCAATCAATAAATAGGTTAGTATACATATCTAAAGCCGGTCACGGTAGCCGAGCGGTCTAAAGCATGTACTGTCCTCGCTCGCTTGGAAACCGGGATCGTGGGTTCGAATCCCACTCAGAGCATGGATGTTTAGTTTGTGTGTGTGTTTTTCTGTGTTTGTGTACAGGTAGAGGCCTTGCGACGAGCTGATCACCCGCCCAAGGAGTCCTACCGAATGTGTAACATCTAGAAAAACCGAAGTGAACGGAGAAGTTCATGGAGGTAGGCCTAGGCCCACTGGGGCCGTAGTGCCAAGAAAAAAAAAAATACATATCTAAAACGTCTTTGAGGGTGCGCCGTCATCAGATAATGATGCAGATGGTTGTGTCATCATTAGGAAGTTTCTATATTCTACTTTCAACTTATGAAGAGTTACCAAAATCGCCATACATGAAATCTCGTTGAAAACACGAAACTTTTCTTCCGAAAAAGTTGTCTGCTCATGATATGACGTACTCTTCAAAACTTTTTAGACGATGTAAATTCAGTCAGTTAGTCAGTCACTGAGTCAGTAAATAAGTCAGTGAATTAATAAAGTCAATTTCATAAATTTTACTCTTCTCCAAGTATAATTAGAATTATCAAGTCAATGAGGATGAGATGAGCAGGGGATGTAGCATGAATGGGGAGAACAGAAATGTATATAGGATTTTAGTGGGAAAGCCAGAAGGAAAGAGACCACTAGGACGACAAAGACGTAGGTGGGTGGATAATATTAAAATTGATCTTAGAGAGATAGGTTAGGGTGCTACGGACTGGATTGATCTGACTTAGGATAGAAACCAGTGGAATGCTCTTGTGAACACGGTAATGAACCTTCGGGTTCCATAAAATGTTGGGAAATCCTTATGTAGCTGCACAACTGGCGGTTCCTAAAGTAAGTCAGTCAATGCGTCAATTGGCCGGAGCGTCCATATGGATGGAGCACGGTAGGTATAATGGAGGTATAAATCTCTATTTAAGACAAGAAAAAGAAACATTAAGACACTTAACAAGAGGGAAAATAATCTGAAAATTGAAATGCGCCATGAGGGAGAAGAGCTATGGAATTGTTAGTGCCGTCTGGTGAGATCTTTCTGCATCTCTATTAAAGCAACCGCTCTCTGAACCCAATTACACCAATGACTTTCCGAATTTTCTGCAAACTTGCTGTGTAATTACGTTTGCGAGTCTTTGAATAGAACAATGAAAATGTTGCGTATTAATGAATCCAGTGTACGCTACAGAAATTATATGTCAAACAAGTGTTGCCATGACAACGGAAAACCCCTCCAGGAAACAGAAGACAAACGGAGTCCCGATTTGTATGTCATGGACTCAACGTACGCGAAAAGAGGACGAGAACTAATTTGAGGAACAGAGGAAGAGATACAGAGACATAGAGGAACCATAGAGACAATGTCTATGAAGCCAGTTTAAGCTGCGTAGTGAGTAACTGGGAGAGAAACAGAGAATACTGAAGTCTATAAATAAACATCAAGCTCCAGTAAGCCCGCAGTTCCTTAGGGAGAAAAACACAAACGAAACCCCAAGTTCATTTAAGAGACACTCAAAGAAAGCAAGAAAATACCAGATAACTGTTTACATTTATGTAAGTGAAAATATTAAAATTGTGTATAAATACGTAAGTAAGGCCTACATTATATATTGAATTGGTTACTTTAATTTTAATAATTCATGATTTATTTCTATATATTAGACACTAACTACTTCATTTGTCACTTATGAATTACAAAAATTGTAGCATGTAGACCCGTTGCTAAGTAATGACTCCACAAACAGCGTCAAACACCAATGGACTAACTGGGAAGCGGTTTTCTCTGCGCGATCCATGCGACAGCTGCGTGACGCAACAATAGAAAAGCTGTTAGCAGAGGTGTTTTCTGTACGGTCCGTGTTAAATGTTATAAGCAGGACAAATCTAGAGTTTAGTGAGTTGGGAGACAGTCGTAGGACAGTAAGGGCGTGAACACGGAAGCTGAAGAAGCTATGGCGTTGGAAGCCGTTACCAGGCGACAACCGGTGATGATACAGTGACCGAGAAGACTTAGTGCGTGCTGTAGTGAACTGTAGGGTGCGTGAATTAGCGATAGCGCTATAGTTACTTGTAGTTACGATCTGTAAGTGTCCAATAAATCTAATTACCAACCCAAACCCCGTCTATATTCACTCTATCACGTGATAATATGATAAAATTGCATTTATAAATGCATAAATGTCACACATACATGTAGAGAAATGTCATTCCGGCAAAGTCACGAATTTTAAATTGTCTAATGAAATGTTATCTTTAGGGCCTATTCGTAATTCTGACATAACCGGTGCATCCCGTTTAACATATCCTGTGTTCGAATCTCCAACCGACTACCTGGCTTTCCTCTACCCTTAGAGGTAAATACTACAACAATATCTCTAAACAGACTTTGGCCTCCTCTTTCCAATTCATATTCATTTGAACGTCTGTCGTGTTATGCTTCTGCGCTGTGTATCACCGTATTCATTGTTGTACTGTTTATTTTTATTTTTATTATAAGTTTTACTAATGCGCTTTGTTCTAGTATTGTACCTTGATGAAGATCACAGTGGCCGCGCGGTCTAAGGCATGAACCGTCTTCGTCCACACAAATACTGGGATCGTGGGTTCGAATCCCACTCGATTCATGATAGTCTGTGTGCGTTTAGTCTGTGTTTGTTGTTCTGTGTGTAGGTACTTGCCTTGCGACAGACTGATCCCCCGTCAAAGGAGTCCTTTCGATTGTGTATAGGATTAAGGAACTGAAAAAGTGGCCAAGGTCCAAAGGGCTGTAGGTCAGAGAGAGAGAGAGAGAATTGTACCTTGATGTACGTAACGATAATTTATATCATTAATATTCTGTGAGCCGATTGTCTAGAAAATGTGGGAGCCTCGGCGTCTCACAGACCTATGGGCCTCCACGGACTGTTATTAAGTTTAAACATTGTAAAGCATGGTCAGATAGGACACTCAGTGAATAATAAATTGGAAAAGATGTGGAAGGGAGATATAATGGTTTAAATTAAAGTCATCTGTGCCTAAAACATCAGTAACGCTACGTCATACATTGCGTAGGAAACCGTACGTTCAGCAAGATCTCTGGTCCCCCTTTGTGCTGGCAGTAGAATCTAGGAACTTTCTAATGACGCCCTGATGAACGCCATTATCTGATGTTAACACATCCTCACAGATGTTTGAGTCACAGACTACTCTCCTGGGAGTTTCCTTGAGAGAGGGAGCCACATACAACCCCAGTCCAGAATAGCCTGTCCCTGACCCTAGATATAAACCCGACATATATTCTGAATATGAAGCAAGAAAAGTCCGACGACAAGTGCGGACTATTATTTTCGTTGTTGCGTTGTTTTCTGTAGTTCCGAAATATTTGTTGTTTTACGTTTCTTAAAGCAATCTATAAGCCCTATGAAGAACTCGCCTGTGGTGTTTCCTCAGCTTCTCATGTGGTGAGTCGTGCTTGTTGCCTGACTCCGGCTCAACTCCGCTGTCGGACATGGCGCGAGCAGATCCCGAGCCAGCTGCCGCGTTCCTAGGTGACCCTGGAGGGGTTTCTCTCTGTGGCCCGCCGGACGCTGATGACGATGGGGCCTGAGGTGAGGGTGAGGCCACAGTGCCAGGTTGAATTCCCAGCATGCAGTATGGATCACTGAAACCTGTAACACCACGGACAATCCGGCGTCAGACAAAACACTGCTATATAAAAACTGAATTCTTATAACTAATAAGACAATAAGGGAACCGGGATAGCTCAGTCGGTGGCTTAAGTTTGCTTCCCGGCGAGGAAAAGATATTTTTCTTTGGTCCATAGCGTCCAGAACGGCTCTGGGGCCCACTCAGTCCCATATTTAAAGGATGGTGATGATTAATTCCCCCCGGGGGGGGGGGGAAAGTGGACAGGGAGTGAAGCTGACCATTCACCTCCAACTAGTGCCGAGGTCAAGAATTGTGGAGCTATTACTCCACTTCCCCATACGTGGCGTGGTGTTTAATTAATTTAACACAGGGATAACTTTATTTTGAATATTCTAAGTTACATATTTCTAAAAACGGTTCAACATATTAAATCAGACAAAGTTTACACAAACTTAAGGGAAGTACAATAAATCACTGCAGGTCGCGGTGCAAGGGCCGAGAAGGCCCACCCCTCATTCATTCATTCATTCATTCATACACAAATTTAAAATAAGGAATTTTTCTAAGATAAAATAAGAAGCCTTCTTGAAGCCGATTCCAGTGGTAAGCACGCCAATGGGGAAGTCACAACTTGATACATCTTCCCTTGTCACTGCAGAACAAATGAAGCCATTATGCTACTATCCACGTGGCGGATATTGAAGCAGAATTCTGCAGTACATTCTGATGTAACTTCACAACTAAACTAATTACATCCTTCTCGAACCCCAACTCCACACCATAGCCAGCAAAATTACGTGCAGAAAAAGAAAATTAATTCCAGGTAGCAACATCAACGTAATCCTTTTACGTATTTTATTTCCATTGGGGGGGGGCGGAAGTATATTTGATTAAAATATGACACGAAATCCAAGTGCAAAGTTCAATCTCTGAGGTAATATTACCTTTATACCTCTCGGCAAAGATTAAGTCGAGTTGGATCTGAAGTCAATATAAGGAGTCCTCCTTTTTCGGGATATGGTACCGTGAAGTCCGGCAGAATTTCGCCGACGTTTCGGGCGAAACTTATTGTCTCTATATACTAGCCTGAAGATAAAAGGAGTAGGCTCCTCTGACTCAATGTTAAGTATCTACAAACTAAGGGTGTCACAGTCTAAAGGACTAAAACATTAATTTTGTACCCCATCTTTTGTGGATAACTTTATGACGCCGTCTGTACCTAGACTTATAATTGTACTGTATTTGTTGTAGTTCTAACTGTATTTACATTGTATTCATTGTGTATAGTGTGTCCTTCCTTGTTTTGCAGTATTTTGTGCCGTGTTTTGTTTGAGCGTGGTGTGTTATTTGTGTGTTGTGTCTTACTGTAGGATCACTACCACCAGGTAAACCCAATTTTCAATTAAAATAAATAAATAAAACAGACTACACAGAATTGAATGATATGGCGACTAACGAACTGAAATAGATTTGAAACCAGCAAGAGGTGGGAACCAAGAAGAGCGTTTTGTTGGTTATCTGATCGGTTTACTCTTCGACCTTGAAGAAGGAAACAGTACTTCCTTTCGAAATGTTGGTGAAATTCTACCACACCAAACCACACGACGGTACATCCCAGAAGACAGTAATCTGCACAGTATTGAACACAAAATGGGAGGAATTTCTCAAGCAGCAATGCGACTAACAGCTTTCCAACAAGGGCCTTCTTCATAGTTAGTCATTTAGTCGTTATATGGCAGTGTGTTGCGGTATTGCCCTACATTTGAGGAGGAGTGCGTAGACAGCATGAAATCGGATTACGAAACAAGATGCTTGTAGGAGACACTTGGCAAGCCCCAAGCGCTCCCCTGACGCGAGAGGGGAAGTCCTACATACCTGACATCAGGAGTCTGAGCTGGTTAGCCATCCAGTTTCATATTCCTATTAGTGTCTGTTATTTAAGTGAAGATTCGCAATGATAAATCTATCAAATTTAAATGTAATTTTCCAAAGAACCACATGTTCTAGGTTTATGAAATTCGACACACGTAGTTAAGAGCTACCTAAATATGTTTTTTTTTTGCAGCGTATTAAACTATCCCTGTAACAGGCCATGAAGACCCATAGGGTTGTGAGAGTTCGAGGCTCCCACATTTTCTAGACAATTGGCTCACAGATAGCGGTAAGGTTGTCAGGCTTACTCGCCGGCCGCCCTTTACCCTACAGGAAGATTCCTGGTACTCATTTCTGTTAGAGGCTGAGTCGACCCTAGGGCCATAATGCGGCTGGAGGGATTAGGTCAACTGAAGGAAACCACCTCATCGGGACTCGAACCCACTGCCTTCCGGCTTATAGCATAGTGTCTCAACCAATTACGCTACCGCCTGCCTCCTTTGCAGCGAATTACATGTAAATATATTTTAATATTTTATCAGGAAAAAATCAAACAGTATAGCTACATGCTACGGACTGGACGACCCAGTTTTGACTCCCGGCAGTGTAAAATTTTTCTCTTCTTTACAGAGTCCAGACCGGCTCTGAGGTCCACACAGCCTCCCATCCAATGGGTGCCGGGAGCTCTTTCGCCGAGGGAAAAGCGGCAGGGGCGTGAAGCTCACCACTCACCTACAACTAGTGTCGAAGTCAAGAATGGTGGAGCTATACCTCCACTCCCGAATAAGTCTTAATGGCATATTACTGAACTAATTAATCACAGTGTCAACTTTACCTTATCTAGTTTTTTTTAAACATCAAAACGAACCATAAAAAATTTAACAGATGTTCTTTGGGTAGTGAAAAATGTGGTAAACGTTTCGGATGAATCACTTCTACTTGATTACGGACAAAGCAGTTTCCTCCGAAACAATATTAACCATCTACCACACTATACGGTGTCAGAACTCATAAAATCACAATATAAATTTCTCAACACCATGAGAACCTCAGATCTGGTTCGCAAATTATTTTTTCAACACAGCCTCCCAGAAGACTAGAATACGTATATGCTTAAGGCGGGATGAGTTTTCCTACCGCCAAGCGAACCGGCGCTCTATGGTAGTTCCTGTTCTATCAAATTTAAATGTTGTGTAGATTCATGTGCTTTGAGCGCCGGACATCTGGCAGACAGAAACTAGTGATGCTGCAGACAGAAGTGTGCGCTTCTATAGACAGTTGATAGAACGAGCCAGGAAATATACACATAGCGTTAAAATTCTAGTACTTCCGCTCGCTTCTTTTTTAATTATTTCTAAAGTCGTAAGACTTACTGAAAAAAACATGTTTGCCATAAAATCACGGTAAAATCTGCGATATCCGGAAATATCTGTTGACCGGAAATGGTCTAATCGTGAATGTGATGATTACAAGAGTGAAATACGGATGTCCTGTTTTGTAGATTATGCATATCCAACATGTTACGTAAGTAGTGATAAAAAGTGAATAGAAAGTGACGCAGGGAACACAGGACAGGATAGGTAAAAAGATAAATTTGTCCCTGTACGTTATGCGTTCAAGTTCTAAGGTCTCAGATTTTTTTCTCACACAATAATCATACAAAAAATTTGAAACTTCTGTCACTTTTCAACGTAATCTCCCTGCAGCCGTACACATTTTTCATAACGTCGACGCCATGATTCCATGGCCGCGCAAACGCTTCTGTAGGAGTCTGTTTTGACCACTGGAAAATTGCTGATGCAATAGCGGATTGGAAAACGGCATCCATGTCTCATCCATTGTCACAGTTGATGAAAAGAAAGTCCCATTCATGCCTTAATCATTGCCATGCGTGCAGCCTTGTGGTCATCCGCCAAAATTCGTGGAACCCACCTGGAGGACACTTTCCGCATTCGCAGGTCTTCATGCAGGATTTTGTGCACAGATCCCACGGAAATGCCAACTTTGGGGGCGATGTTTTCCACACTCAATCGGCGATCCTCCAAAACAACTTTCTCAACTCGCTCGACCATGTTGTCAGACCGGCTGGTGCGAGGCCGAGATTGTTTTGGTTCGTTGTCACACGACGTTCGGCCTTCTTTGAACTGTCGCGCCCACGAACGCACATTTTTCACATTCATGACACCATCACCACATGTCTCACTCAACTGGCGATGAATTTCAATGGGTGTCGCACCACGCAAGTGGAGAAAACGAATGATTACTCGCTGTTCTTGTAACGAAAACGTCGCCATTTTAAGTATCAAAAACACTCCTCACACTCGCCGCTACCACTAGAGTTCTGAGTGCCGTAGAGTTCTGCCATCTCTGTCACGCATTCACAAAGAGTGCACACGTATTTTAAACAAAACCGCATGTGTCTATCTGCTCCCAGTCCTGAGAAAAAAAATCGGAGACCTTAGAATTTGAAGCCCCTCGTACATAACTAATTAAGGACTACGCCAGGCGTATGGGGGAGTGGACGTATAGGTATATGTTTTCTTGGTCTCGGCACTAGCTGGAGTTGAGTGGTCAGCTTCACACCCCGGCCGCTTTACCCCAATTGAATAGGAGGTTGGGTGGACCCCCAGAGACGGTCTGAACGACGTGGAGAAGAGGAAATTCTTGACCCTACCGAGACTCGAACCCTGACGCCTCGGTTGTCCAGCCCGTAGACACTCGCTATACCGACTGCGCTATCCCGTCTCCTCCACGACAGGATATCTAGTGACAAATTAAATTATCCTCAATTATCCTCACGAGGCTGAGTGGACCCCGTTCTAGACCCACAACTTCTTAGAAAATATGGTAGCGCCGGGAATCGAACTCGGGATCTCTGAATCTGTAGCCAAGAACCCTGACCACTAGATCATAGAGGCGGTCAAACACGACGTTTCGGAAACACCATGGTCAGAATCCTTTAGAATCTGCTTAAAACAGTAGGGAGTTTATGAGATACAGTGATGTCACATTGCTTATAAAGAAGAATTTGTGAACTGCGTCAAGCTACGAGTGCGTCCCTCGTAAACTTATTTTCTGATGGCCCAGCGTATTTTCCCTTTCCTGGAAATATTTGCATAGCAACGTCAGCAGGAATCTCCTGTCTATA